TATGAAAGTTTTCCAAATGAAAAATTCAATTTTCGAGTACATACAGGTAAATGCAGTTGAAAATATAAATTGTAAGTTTCTGAAAATCTTTTGAGAGTTGATTCTTTGATGCAATTTAAAAACTTCTTTGAGCTATCTTCTGTTTTTAAGATCCCCTCTTTTATCATTTCAAATTACAATATTATTATCATTGTTTGATGTATTCTAATGCTGAGTTGATAAAATTAATCTCTTAAGTTTACTCGATTTTCTTTGCCATAACGATAACACTGCTAATATTATACTTTTAATGCTATGGTAATCTTTGCTTTGCTATAATACTCTTCCATTCATTCGAAGATTCTTTTGAAAAATGGCATAGTGACTTTCTTTCCTTCAATGGTATTAAATTTAATTTTTATTCAACGAGCATACAATTTCAACAGCAGCGTGTTTATAAATACGATCACGTGATAAAGCATCGATTGTTGGTATTTATTATAATTTATTACTGTTATTGGTGACTTGCTGTAATTCTGTAATGATACTAAAGAATCAATGATTAACTGTGCCAACGAACATTTAACTGTTATTTGCTAATCGACTACGCTCACGTTGAATTTGTACGTCATGCGTCTTACACCCGTATATAATATATATATTATATAAATAATGTACATGTAGATGTTTGTAGTTTATTAACCTATTACGTATAGACTAGATAATACTCTATTATGTACATATTTTATGTCTCGCATATAAAGCAGTCGGGAATTGCTAGCCGTACGTTAGACGTAACAGTCTATCATTATTATTATTATGTATCTATACGAGATTTTATTAATTGCGCCTATGGCAAGTTATTTTTAAAATTTTATCTGTGCTTTCATTTTTATGTTCCACATTTTTGGTTTAAATTTTGATAAAAAATTTTTCTGTACAGGATTGGACGGGGCTTACATAAATTACAGATAAAAAATTGCTAGACTTTCTGATTATTGTAATGATCTACTTTATAATATCAATTAACTCGGTGGATATATTGTGTAGAAATGAAATTACTTTTCAAAGATAAATTTATTAAAAATGAATGTATGGACAAAGAATTTTTTTACTATTACTATATCTAACGTAAGTTTTAATTTACACAATAACAACGTAATAAATGCTGAATTTAAACCTAAATGTGTAGTATGCAAACAAATGCGGTGACTACCTTTGTATTCGAAAAAAAGCTGATGAAGCCCATTATACGTTATGCATCTATTCGTGAATGCGCATGAAAAATAAACAGCTCATCCCTCTAGACGCACAAATACACTTGTCTGTTTTGTGTCTATGTTTTGTAGACAGTTTTCTATGTATAGCTCGTAAATAAAATAGCAACTGAGTTATTGTTGCAGTCTCGATCCAATATAACGTGACACGATACCATTTCTCGTTAGTGACATTCGAATGAAAAAAAGATCATAAACTTCTTGAAAGTCAATATACAGTGGAAAAGTTTTTATACATTTTGAAGTGTTTGTAACGTCTACAGCTTTCGCTAAATTTTTTTTTCTATCTTTCACGTTTGGGCTTTTTTTGAACTTTGTGTTCCGTATATTGTTGAATAATAAACACGCACCTGACTTACATGTAAACTATATTTTTTTTCTTTTTTTGGTTAAGCTTATGTAATTTTTTTTTAAATTTATGTCACGGGCTTTCTTTCTCAGTTTTTCTATATCAATCATCAGAATTTTTTAAATCGACTACTGTCAACGTACAAAAAGTTTAATGTAAAAAATTGTGTAAATTCAAACGTGGTCGTCATTAATTGGTTATTATGTATTAATATTATTTTGTTTTCGTAAAAATGTATCTTGTCAATTATTACTTCGCTCTCTTCTGGTGACAAGAACTTTCTTTTCACAATCATACTCTCTAATAAATAACTTTTGAAACACTTTATAGTATGCTAATTTTTACAATAAAATAGCGCATAAAAGAAAGAGCCACTTGAATTTTGTTTTCGCATAATGTTTTATTGTTTTATTCAAGTTTTATAATTATTGTTACTTTGTGGCCATTTCTGCTTTTTGATACAATTTGAACGTACACATAAATCGATTAACTATATTAAAATTTTTCAAAGAGTATATATCTATTATTAAAATTTTTTTTTTCTACACTAATTTTTTTTTCAAATTGTAACGTACTGTTTTTGTTGGAAAAATTTTTGTTAAGGTCTGTGTTATAATAAGTATGATTAAAAAAAAATTTTTATTGATACTTAATGCATTGCACTTTTGCAACAAATTATATTGCAAAAATATGGCAGGTGCTAATTAATAATTAATGCTATGATGTTATTTGTAAGCAAGCTTGTGGAGTTTCCAAAAACACTTGAATTTACAGCATCATCATAGTTTCAGAGTAAGTAGAAAAAAAGTGCTACTTAAATTAGATGAAAAAAAGTTCTGTATTTTTAATACAAATAATAATTTCATTTACTGCAAAGTATAATTTCCAATAACATTTTTTGATGTTCTTCTAAGTTGAATTCTTTTACAAAAATAATTTTTAACCCATTGAAAGCAATTACTTTAAATGACGTTTTAACTTAAAAAAAAAAAAGAAAAAATTGAAATGAAGATTTAAGAAAAAAAATGTAAAACAAATTATCTTTTGCGTATAAAATGCAGTATCGTTCATGAATTGGTGTATACGTCTCGAATACGCAAAACCAACGTGCCAGCTACACATCTAGACGATAACTAGTAAACGAGTGGACGTGACTGCAAGTTTATTTTCCTCTTCAACACAATAATTTATGGCATGGATTGAAAGGGCAGTGATAAAAATTTCAGTACTCAGTCATTCCGCACGTGCCAGCTCTATGATTTTTCTCGATGAGAAATTTTCACCGACAAGCCTTGCCAAAAGTTCTCGTAAAACTCTTTGCCTCATTTGAAATGTTATTGCAATATTTTAGTTTGTCTTTTTTTAGATTTGATTAAAAGATTCAAGAGAAACATTATTTTGAGCTGTAACAAATGGTGCTTATAAAAATTGGTAAATGTGTCTGCATTTTCATACAATATTAATTGGGACGAATTTTGTCAATTATATGTTTGATGAGCAATTTTCAATAAATTGGATCAACAAAATTTTTTTGTTAAAATATATTGCATGTATTAGTCCATGAACGGAATCATTAATTTTTTCTATATAATAACGACCCAATGTTGTACTGGTATTTTTGCTGTATTTTTTTTCTTTTTTTATCGTCAGTATGATTGCACACGAAAAGCCAAGAATTTTAATGAAACTTTGCGGCAGTTTTTTTAAGAGCATTTCGAGGAAAAAAAGAGATAATGTTTTTTTATTTCTTATTGGATGCGCTAAAAGTGCAAGCTAATTTTATTAATGCAAGGGGTAAGCTACTCAAGATAAAAACATGGTATAATTTTTCTTGATCCCGTCCGTAGTACTGTGGGCGGTTTCGCGAAAGGTTTAAATAAATTGTGTATCATAAGCTGTTTGGTCAATGATGAAAAAAAATTTAATATTTATTGTAGGAAATATATTACAAAAATTTATAAGTAATACTGCTTAAGTTAATAACTATGATTACCTTATTATTTCACAAGCTACTGCATACCTTCGACGCTTTCGGCAGTTTTGTCAACACTATTTGATTACTACAGTCAATACCAGAAATTGTCGATACCNTAGTGTTTTGTCCCTATCAGATTATTGTGTAAAACTATATATCTCTGCACCTCTGCATTGCTATACGTATGTAGTAATGTACATGGGAGCACATATGTTTCGTAGATTGTTAATTCACTAGAGTATAAAATTCATAACTTTTTTTTGATTACGATAGAAATTCATAAAAATTTTTCAAAGAGTATATATCTATTATTAAAATTTTTTTTTTCACAAGCGCAAATATATTATGTTGGATTGAAAGTGCTAAGAACAAAGCGGCTCTAACGTATTTTAAAAGCACCTTTCAACTTAACTAATCAGAGTATTTTCCGTACCATATCCATCTTAATTTGTTCGTAATTGGTACGCTCGTCCCTGTGTGGATCTTTCGGCAATTTTCATAAGTTATGCATATTTTTACGGTGGAATAGGGTTGCTGGAAAAACATACTAAGAGGTTGTTCAAAGTAGTTTTAAAAAAAAATTATATTAATACCCTATGTATACTTTAGAATTGTACACAATTCTATGCTTTATAGAAATAAATGGCATTAATGAAAAAAAATAAGTAAATAAATAAATAAAAAGAAAAATAGTTCTTGAATAGTGTTAAAACAACTAGTTCTATTCATCATTGTATTTCAACTTTAATAAATAAAGAGAATCTCATGAAACCGCGAATCTAGCATAAACATTTAAATTCTCAATAAAACTACTTAATATTCGTGATAGCGATTAACCATTACGTAAGATGGCTTATACGTGCGTGCGGTTGGTAAATAAATTTGAACGAAACTTTTCTCATACTGAATGGAGAAAAATCAACACAGAGCGAGTACCAACAACTTTTTTAGATGTGTATTTTTCCAACTCGACGAGGTTTTCCTTTTCTTTTTTCCTCGTGTAAACATACGCTTGAAAGTTTGGATCATATATACTTAGGTAGGAAGATCGCGGCGTAGAATCGATTCTATAATTTTATCCACGTTAGGTAATGGAAAAAATTGTGTGATAAGTTTTACCGATTTATCGCAAAACCGATCGCAAAAATAGAGCTATATGTCGTTAAAAAAAAAAAAAAAAAAAAAAAAAGGAGGTATCAAAATACAATCTCAGTGTATGGATATGATTTTTGTAAAAAAAGTATTTGTGCGTAGATGCAATATTATTATCATTGTTTGATGTATTCTAATGCTGAGTTGATAAAATTAATCTCTTAAGTTTACTCGATTTTCTTTGCCATAACGATAACACTGCTAATATTATACTTTTAATGCTATGGTAATCTTTGCTTTGCTATANTTAAAAATAAAAAAAAAAAAAAAAAAAAAAGGAGGTATCAAAATACAATCTCAGTGTATGGATATGATTTTTGTAAAAAAAGTATTTGTGCGTAGATGCGCAAAATTATAACTAAGGTACTGAGTAAGTATAATCGAAGCTGCGAAATTAATCAACCATGTTTTTTTATAAAAAATACTTTTTTTTTACCAGTCAATAAACCAAAAGTTCTGTTTATCAAAAATATATCTTGAAATGGAAAAACTTCGGGAAAAGTATACAACGGGGACGCATAAAATCTTCGTACATGTACATTATATGTAAATTCATGTCTTCTTCTATGTTTTTAAAAATTTGTAATTTAAATTCCATCGCGTTACGGCGGACAGCAGAGAAATAAATCATTCTTACAAAATCGATTCCACCGAGCACGTCTGCACGACAACTAAGAATCCCGTGAACTCATACGCACACGCGCACGCACACACACTCACTCATGCACAATGTCGGGGGAAAAACACGGCTATGTAATACGGTAAAGATAAAAATAACGTACATCGTCGCTGATTTACATAAAACTCGTCCGTCCTGATTTTAACTTTCATCTCGTACGTAGTAATCGTAATAGTTACAATAAAGAACAGCGACAGCGACGAGAGCAAGAGACGAGATAAAGGAATACGAGATCAAATCAGCCGGGGATTTTTCGAGAAACCCCAGGCATCACCCACGTAACGACAATCAGTCTTGGAATTTTTTGCGTTTTTTCTTTTTTTTTTCATACGTTTACATTGCAACATGTTGTATGTATCCTTTTTTTTACGATTAAAATCCTTAAAATAAAATTATTATTTGCATTGTTACTGTATCCTCTTCTTGTTCCTCTCCATCCGTTTTCTACAACACGTGCAGGTTCTCGCAGCTTTTGGACTTGCTGTCGCGCGCCCAGACCTTGCCCAGCAAACTTCGCACCTTCAAGCTCGCGCTCGTCCTGCTGCCCCTGTACTTCTTCGGCGAGTTGTTTTCCGAGCACGAGCCGATTGGCGACCGGCTACGGTTGCGACGCGATCGTCGCCGGATTATGTCCCGGCAACGCTCCGGATTCTCGAGCTTTAATCGAATTTGGCTGAGGAGGCCGACGAGCAGCTCGTCCACGTTGTGGTTTATGCTGACCGCGGTCTCGATGAATTTGCAGTCGTAGTTTATCGCCATCTGTTTTCCCTCTGTAACAGATTTTCATTTCGTTGGGACAAAGGTAGATACCAGTTTTGGCCGAAGTTTGTATGATTTTGTTGTGACAGCTGGTTGCATGTATTAGTGCGCGTATGGTTTGTGTTTCAAATACTGTGTAGGTATACAGTGAAGGAAAAGGGAAATTATTGAAATTTGAAGGTTGGACTGTGCAAGATGAGGTCAACTCGAGTAAAAGTAAATTATGTGGACGCAAACTGTGTGTAACTATCGTAAAGTGTGGCCTCCAACTTCGGAATTTTTTTTTTTCAACTGTAGCGAATGGTATGGATGGCTAGAGATGTATGAACGTGACTACGTGTTCAAGGTAATTTGTAAAAAGTTTTGTATGGCCTATTTTGCGTTGATGAGAAATCGACAGTTGCGAGTAAAATAATATTTGAGGATTGTTCCAACTACTTTGTACATGTCATTGGAAAACTGATCAATAATCCATTTATATTACCACAAAATATGTACATGCGCACATGTCTCTTTTCCTAATTGGGTTGATAATTTTTGTTCCTAATTTCAAGTTTCTATGGCATATTTTTCATCTCTCACCCTCCATATCTATGTGTATTTTTCTGACCCTGTATTTCTATGTCTTCTGTCTATGTCTTATATCTCTTTATTTCTCTTAGTTTTAGCTAGTATGTCTTGCCCTCTGTGCTTTTATTCCTATGTCTTTCGTAGTTTACATGTCATCTACATCTCAAGCTTCATTTTCTTATCTCTGTCTTGTACTTTTGAACTCGTTTTCTCTATTCTCAAGAAAATTACTCTTCATTGATGTCTTCCCAATTTTTTTAAGCATCTTTATCTTTATATGACAAAAATTTTATTTTTTGTATTCGCAATTTTACATTTATCCATGAGTTTTGTTGAATTTCTTTATGAATATAGTGTTTTGTCCCTATCAGATTATTGTGTAAAACTATATATCTCTGCACCTCTGCATTGCTATACGTATGTAGTAATGTACATGGGAGCACATATGTTTCGTAGATTGTTAATTCACTAGAGTATAAAATTCATAACTTTTTTTTGATTACGATAGAAAATCATAAAAAAAAAAAAAAAATGATCAGTAACAATTTCGTCCATCCTTAGAAATTTATTGCAGGATACCATTTGGCGGACGACCAAGATTTGGCCCGCACAGATCACCAAAATATTTCATCTTACCTTCAGTAGTCACAAAACGACATCGCACGAGATCGACCTTGTTGCCGACAAGTATTACTGCTCGGGCCGACATGTGGTCGCTGCGCCAAAGTGATTGGAGAACTTCCTCGGCTACGCGAGCTGACGAGCGGTCGGCTGTCGAGTAGACAACACAGTATCCGTGTGGCTCGTATGTCGCAATGCAGTTCTCCGGCTGCAAAGAGATGAAAAAAAAAAAAATATATATATATGAGTATTTTTAGTTCAGAAAAGACGTGGCCTCATTCGATCGTCGAGAGAAAAAAGGGCCAAGCTTGACGAACGGACGCGAGCTTTTACACAAGTTTTCGTACATCTACAAACAGTACTTGACTACTCAGATAGAGGTACTTCTTACCACGAATTTAGGAGGCTTCCATCCGAGTAAAAGTTTTTTTTTTAATTTTTTTTAATTTTCAAATCTATATCTCTGGATACGAGGTCCTGTTGTACAATATCCTATTGATTATCGTGATAGTGTGTACCATTTTGATTCCATATGCAATACTTAAACTTATTGAGCAGGATAAGGTGAATTGGTATGTATTTATCTAACTTGTAATCAAGATGACGGTGGCTTCTAAAATTCCCAGCTCACTAGAGTGGAATCTAACTCGAGGCAGTTAATTAATCCGACTGTTTGGCATCCCTGAGCAGATATTTGCCGAAAATTTCAAAGCTGAATTCCCAAATGACATCGAAACACGCGTGAATATACTCGTATGTGATGTTTGTCTCCAAAGTGCGGTGCAATTCTCACCCCTTTCCCTCACAGGCCCGAAATAACAACTGTACGCACAGCCAGGATCCGAAACAGAAGCAGTAGAAAGTGCGCGTAAGGGACGAACAATTTCGCGAGCAGCAAGACTTTCGTGCCAGATGTTGCCGCGGTGAAATGTAAATTTTCTCGCGGCAGCCACCCCCCCCCCCGCATGTACGCCTCTCGAATCCGAATCGCTCTTGTGGCTGCACGTGTGGATGCACGGGTAAGGTTTTCGGATAGTATAAGACGTGACCGGCTGACTTTTTGGCACGAGTCCGATCTATCTTCGCTTTGCGGTGTACTACTTGCACCGGCTGGACCGGCTTTTCAGGGTTGCGGGTACGTCGGCTGGTGGTTGTTTTTGCGGGGTGACTCTCGGGACGAAAGTTTGATGGGCCCACGCCGGTGACTGTGAAAAGTACGTTTCAGCGCGTATAGTTCAGGAAAAAAGAAATATAAAACCTATTGGACTCTTCTTCCTTTTTTTTTTTTTTTTTTTTTCTTAAAGATTGGAAAAATGAACCATCGGAACAGGATACCGTAGGAAAATATTTAGCTTTCCGTCCCAACTGTGGATCGGATTACAGTTGTAAGGTATCGAGTTCAGCGGAATTTTTTCCCTGCCAGAGTCAGGAGACTAGAGATGCCCCGAATATTTCGCTCACGGGCGGGTCCTTTGATCTTTCGCAGATTTGTTTTTCAACCCGGACATCATCCAACAGAATACATTCCTTTCGTTCTCGCGATATTTCTTAAATCACAACTAGAAGAATTCACCCCCGATTAACGCTTCCTCAAAGCATCCCCTGTATAAGTATATACTCTCGTTCATCGTATCAGTGAATCGATGCAAAGGTACGCCATAATTGGGTAAAATCATTCGTTACAGAAACTCGTGGATCATCGGTACGCGCCGATCGTATCGCAGAACTACCGAGTAAGCCCCCGGCTTTTTGCGCGTATAAGCTCGAAACTCCTGGGCACAGACAGCCGCAACGTACCGTACATCATAACTCGATTGTGACTTTTTTTCTTCTTCTTCTCCTTCGAACTCGGTGCTTACGCAAAATCTGCCTCCTTCACCCCCCGCCCCGTCTTCTCCGCGTAAACTTGAGCAAAGGAGGAGTCGAGAATGGGGCTGAGGTCGGGGGGTATTAGCGTTGCGGCTGACCGCTCGGGCAACTTTGCTAAGTGTACATGACGCGGCTGCCTGAAAGCTCGTCTAATGAACACTGGGGGACGGGAAAACTTGGCGTTATTGTATATACGTACGCGTGCCGAGATAAAACGACGACTGAGATTTGGCTTATTGTACGGACGCGAGCGGGTGACAATATAAGAACGACCAATCAGAACGGGGATTACGAGGGCTTTCCTCGCCCGAGACAAATATATATATATTTTTTTTATTTCCTCTTTCGGGGAATGGTGTGAGCTTTTCCGACGAGGTCGAAATTTTCGCACGTGCGGGAGGCTGGATTTCTTTTTTTTTTTATACGCGCAATCGCGAGGTTGAATACTATCATCACTGTAGTCCGCTGGAAGTCAGACTCTGACGCGGGAAACGCTCCGCGATCAAAAATAATTACCACGCCCTCTTGCGATCCCGGGAACTCGTTATACACGGTGTTATATGCATTGCGCAACTTGATCGCCAACTTTTGCACGGGAGAAAGTTTTGTAGTTGCATAAGGTATGCTATTATTACACTCGCTTGTGCAACTTCTGCTACCAGACAGCCGAGCGCTGTGGTGTGTATGGAACTCGGGGCGGGGGTGTATAATGTATCTTTGCAGCTCGCGGGGATGCTTTATTTGCTTCGCGAGACGTATACTTATTTTTAATGAGACAGTTGCGCGCCGAGCTTAGTTTTGTGGTTGTAACGTTGCGCGAGGACGATGAAAATAAAAAAAAAAGTGAAAAAAGTAAAAATGCATGTTTCAGTAAGTGCGTGTACAATTTCTTTTTTTTTTTTTGTTTCTGTTTGTGCAGAACTGTAAAAAATCGAGCCACGGGGAGAGCCATTAATATGCATTAGAGCTCGATCTGCACGGCTGGTGAAGTTTTGGGAGTTTAGACAGCCACTTAAAACGAATTGATCAAATGATTAACCGCTTCGCCGAAATTTCACGGAACTTTGTAATTCACGTGGGCGGTGCGAGACTCAAACTCTTCGCGCGTTTGAACTACAAAACATGATTAAAAGCACTTGAATCTGGAGCTTGGAAGAATAAAATAGCAGTGGGAAAAAGAAATTCGAACGAATAATGAAAACATATGTGTGTGGAAAAGAGAGTGGGAACTTAACAAAGCCTCGTGCATGCATAGAGACTCAGAAACTCTCGTGTTGCACTGTCGGAGCAGCATCGATTGTCGTTGGTCCGCAGCGCGTAATTCACTGCGAATCGCATGTATATGCAACACGTTAGGAGTTTGGGTTATGTAGGTTAATAATTATGCGGTGGTACGATGATTAATAACAGCTCAGTCGCCTTTTGTTGGCACACGCATGTGTGTGATGTAGTCGTATATCGTGCCACCTTGTACAGTCGCAACGTCACCCCATTGCTGCGGTGCTCGAATGGACTGTGTGCCGACGATAATTAAATGTTGGATTTGATTGCACCAATTGCCGAATGTACTTACGTATACTAATAGCTGTTTGGTTGCGAACAAATTACAGAGGCGTCAAAGTCATCGAATGCATGGGTTATAAGTGCGGACGAGTCCCGTTTCGGCTTCCTACAGCTGTGTTGCTCTTTCATTTAGAAATCACAGCACAGAGGGTGCACGAGTACAAACGGCACACGGCGAGCAGCAAAACGCCAACGGGAGGAGCAATCCATTGAGCAGTGAATATGTACGGGGGTGCAGTTGTTGGCAAACTATACGCAGAATGGGTCGCGTGGAGACAAGTTGGCTCGTTGTCGAGTGTGTTTCCCTCCGCCGGGACCGCAGGTGCACAGCGAAATAACACCACGTTGTTCGTATAGGTATTGAACCTGGGCAACTTGACACCCTGGGGGAGGGGAACGCTCCTCGATACTGTGGGATGTGGAGTTTGGGATTGTTGGAGCGTTGAGCGGAAAGTTGCTTCTTTCGGTTTAATTGGGACATTTGATTGTGGTGCGTGCGAACGTCGATTGCTTTCGCGAATTAATTGGATGCTTTTTCACGGTTTTGTTCTCGACGCGGATGTGGGTTTTCGTGTCACGATATGCTTATGAACATCCAGTTGGAGGTACATTTGTTCGTATCCATGCACCGAATTTTGAACCCTCCACCTTTTATCCATCCTTTTTGATGGAAATTCAATCCGCATGGGTGTTATTTTGCCAAGAGGCTATTTAATTTATGAAATCGCGTGGACCTACTTGAATAAAATTAATCTTGAAAATCATTAAACTTATTTGTTAATTAATAGCTTGCAAATCGATACCTCGTTAAATGATATCAGAGATCTCATCGAGTCATGAAAACATTATAAAATTAAAATTCAAGTACAAACAGTGGGCAAATACACTTTTGAATTTCATTCCGAATAACACAGATGCTAAAAAGTACAGACCAAGTATATTACGAACTAAATAAAATAGATAAAATGTATGTACTACTCCGATACTCCATATAATTGTTTTATTTCAAGTAGTTCTAAGACTAATAAAATCATTTTGAAATCATTGGAAAAAATGTGAAATCGAAAATGAATTAGACTTTATGCGTAAAAATGGATAACTCCCCTACCCTCGCATTTATCAAAGAGCTTCGTGAATTTATTTATTTCGCCTCTGCGGCCAAAGACAAGATATTAAGAAGACCAAGCTGATAATCCTCTTTGCAGCTCCCATCCTAACTCTTATGCACACCGTGGCTCCTTTTGTGGTAGCGATTGAAATACCAAGCTGAGCGATTGATCGTTTCACGCTTGGACGAGTTTAACGGCTGACTAACTTCGTATCGTTCTATCTCTCTCTCTCTCTTTAGACGAGCTTTTTTTCCTTCCCAAGCTCGTATGGAGAAAAAACACGCGCAGCCTTCGATGAACTCAATGTTGCTGTAGATGATTGGTACACAGGGAAAAAGAGACAAACGCACGTGCACACGCAGAGAAAGAGACTCGTTTTCACAAAGACCGATGTCCTCTTTTTTCACAAGAGTATGATTTTTTTTTCTTTTCATTGCGCATTTAGATATTGCTGCATAGTTGCGACTGTGCTTTAGAGCTTGTCAGGTGACGCGTGCGGTGGTGTGGTCGAAAAACATGGATGGCCTGGATTAAAGTTGAGTAATTGTTTCCAGTGCACCCTGCATTTATTAATAAAAAGTTAGGACTTGACGTTTCATGCTCCATTTGAGCCAACTAGATTATAAATTGCCTGGTTTAATCAGAATTTAATGGCCAAGTTCTTTTT